GCTTCTGAAACATAAAACATGCCTCTACAGAGATAATACATTACTATGTACCCAGGCATTGCCTTGTTCTTTGACCTTTTCTTAGTGAATTTTGTTCAAAAAGTTTAACCATGCAAAAAAGTGTTTACATGTTCTCTACAGTAAACTGAATTTATTTCATCCTTTATAAGGCAACATTTCTAACACACCCTGAACATCTGCTAAGGATTCCCTTTAATTCTTCCAAGTTGATGTCAATTCCTGTATTGTCACATGTTATGGTTTACTCACTCATTTTGATGCAGCACATTTCCCCCCCCTTCCAGAGAGACAGTAAATGGGAATTATATTTGTATGATTTTTGTGTGTCCTACCCCCCCATTTCATATAGGACACACAAAAATTCATATATATATGAATATATATATACACACCCCCCCACACACATATATATAATAAGTATTATTTTTATTTTTATATACACACAAATACACCCCCCCATATATATGAAATAATAATAATAATTATTATTATTTTCTTAGCACATAAATTGCCCCCCCAAATCATTTTCCCTTAGGCTGCTGAAGACACTTTAATCATCTTCAAGTTTGTACCCCCCCTACAGGGCAATCAGACACCTTACAGCCTCCCATCACATATCTATGAGTTTTAGCCCCCCCCTCTCTTAAGGCTTTAAAATTTTGTGTTTCTCTTCCTTATCTAAGATTTCATGATGATATACTTTGTCGGGGTCTATTTTATCTTTTTCATCTAAATTCCCACAGGAAGTCTTTTGCAATGTATAAACCACATTCAGTTCTAAATGTTTTTATTAAACTATTTCTTTGAGAAATATTTCAAACACTTCATTTTCTCTATTCTTGTTTCTCTATTCTCCCATCATATATGGCTCCCTGGTCACAGCTTCTAATTTCTCATCTTTTAATCCTATTTAAAAAGAAAAGCATGCTCAGTGACATTCATAACTTGATTTCATCTTATAAACCCAAATTAAATGTTGTAAAAAGGCAGCTTGAGAAAAGTTCTGGAAAAAAAGTCATTAAAACTAACAATGATATACTGTAATGAAAATTTCTGTAGGAAATTTCTATACAAAATAAATGTTGTTTACTATATTACAAGGTGCATGAAAAATAGGCTCTAGAACTTCTATTCTTCATATTGTTTTTAGAATCTTACGGTGTATTACTCATATTCTTTCTTTCAGTTGAACTTAGAAGAACATTAAAGGTTTACTCCCTAATATAGTTCTCCCCCCCGGTTAAGATTACACGAACTTACAAAGTAATTAAGGGGAGCTGATTTATATATACCCCCCCATACACAATATATTATATATGTATATATTCTAATGAGAATATGATGAAAAATGCTCCACAATGATGAAACGTATTTCCCTAGTGAAGAATCTATTATATGTAATTTGCTAGATTAAAAAAAAAGTATTTAAATTTTTACTGGGAGAAAAGTAACTCTTCTGAAAATATAATGTCCCCCCCAAATTTTGAAGTAAAATACATGTGGAATTCAGGTGGAACATAGGATTTTTATGCCCCCCCAACTATTCAGTGTAATACATATCATAATACTTTGTCCAAACCCTTAAAGTTCAACACAGAAACCTTGAACACTAATGTAATGTATGGATTTTGGAAGATAATGATGGGTCAATCCCCCCCTATTAACTGTAATAAATGTGCCATTTTGGTGGGATCCTGTAGATCAGGAGACTCCCCCCCGTTCAATTTTGCTATGAATCTTACACTGCTGGTTCAAAGACAATGTATGTGTAATTTATTTTGGAATCATTTTAATGAAAAGAAAACCTGTTTTGAAAATATGATGCTTTCTCAAAAATTAAAAGCAAAAACATACAAGTCCAAGCAGCAAGAAGACTGTTCCTGTCCAACTCAATCTGGTATTATCAGCATATAAAATACTCAGGAAAATATTACATCTTTCTTGATTCCCTTTCTAATTGCACTACAAATGTTACTTACTATCCACTAAAAGGGTTTTTTGTTTTTTTGCCCCCCCCCAGAAATTTGACGTATTAAGAAAAAGGGCACTGGGTGGGTCAGTCGCTTGACCGCCCCCCCTTGGCTGAGGTCATGATCTTGGGGTCCTGGGATTGAGTCCCGCATCAGGCTCCCCCCCCCCCTCCTTCTCCCTCCCCCTCAGCTACTCCCCCTGCTTGTGCTCACTCTCTCAACCCCCCCAATAAAATCTTTGATTTTAGAGGGGAGGGGGGTCAGGGGATGGGTCAGCCCAGTGATGGGTATTAAGGAAGGCACATTCTGCATGGAGCACAGGGTATTATATGCAAACAATGCCCCCCCGAACACTACATCAAAAACTAATGAGGTACTGTATGGTGACTAAAATAACATAACCCCCCCATATTAAGAATCACAAGAGAGTAATTAAAAATCATATCTTCCTATATTAATTAGCATGCTCATGATGAATCCAAGGGTGCATAAAAAGAAGTGCAACATGAACATTAGTAATCTCCAATATTAGTAAAATTAGAAAAATTAGAAAAAAAGTGTTGTATGTTTGCATCAACACAGAAACAGCATGGCTGGATACAAACTTCTTTATTCATTTCAGGCTTCTGAAGTGAAAGGAGTATGATCAAATTTGTCATTTTTAATCATATCTCTGTTCTTTCTGACTTGTTCTCACAGGCATAAACTGAGTTATTCTTGTGTGAAAAAGTCAAACAAAATAACACATTCCTACATATATATGAAAAAATTAGTTATGATTATTCATCATTCAATAATATTAAATATTTAGATGGAACCTGAGGATTTACAACATCTGGGTCCAACTTTACTTTGGGAGATCAAGAGAATCTCACATTACCCTGAGAACCTTAAGCATCTGACTGTTATCACTTCTGGAATGTAAACATGTTTTTATTTTTCCTGCTCAGGTCAAATATTAGTTATTACCCTTCAGTCAGGCCAGTTAGGGAAAAACTGGCAGAGGCAGAATTAAAATCAGAGCCTCTCTTCTCATCCCTTAATACTTTGATAACTGAGCCCCCCCCCTCAATTTATACACTTAAGGAAAAGGTTCAGACTCTCTGAAAACTGAGAGAAACCCCCCCCACATATCTATGGATTGTCTATGCTTGTGACTTCTATGAAAAGACAAAAAGTGTCCCCCCCAAAGTGCTTTGGAAGATAGATGTATAAATTCTTGTGGCTGCTATAACAACTTACCACAAACAGTGGCTTAAAGTGACACAAATGTATATTCTTTCACAGTTCTGAAGGTCAGACCCCCCCATGAGTATCACGAGGCAAGAATCAAGAAGTGGCAGGGCTGTACTCTCCAGAGGCCCCCCCTTCTAGCCTCCAGTTCCACCTTTTTTTTAAATTTTATTTTATTGTTATGTTAACCCCCCCACATTACATCATTAGTTTTTGATGTGATGATTCATGATTCATTGTTTGCATATCCCCCCCAGTGCTCCACGCAGAACGTGCCCTCTTTAATACCCATCACCAGGCTAACCCATCCCCCCA